TATAATATATGATACACTGTATTATATAATAATGTATTACATAATAATAATAGTTTATATAAAATACGCGAAAATCACGCTTGCAAATGCAAATAAACAATTTCGATAGTGTGAATCTTGCGACAAATTGTTGTCGCAATTTGTCGTTCAATGTCAATCAACAGTAAGCCGCTTCGATCAGCTCAACATCATGATGATGATTCGGCAAATTTGATGAAATAAATAGCTGGAAGTCGCTCGAAATAATGGTATTTGCTTATTTCAGTAATCTTTCGCAATGAATGTCGATTTATTGTTCGATCGTGGCACTGACTAGTATTATTAATTAATCAGTACTTCACATTATCAAAATGTCTTTATATTTTAATTATTACAATTTTTTAATCATTTTCTTAAACAAAATTATATCTTGTATATATTTTTACTTATTCTTTGAGACTTAATTTTATTAAAGATATTTAAATTTTTTAAAATCGAGTTTAATGAAGATGTTACTATATCTCTTACGAAAGCTAATAAAATTTAATGCTACTTTAATTTTTAATCATGAATTATTAATTTTATGTTCATTAATAAAAAAAGTTAATAAAAAGTTGAAGAAGATTGGTGAAATCGGGTAATAATCAATTATTAATCGAAAGTTGTGATGAGAAAAAGAAATTAAAAATATATTTGACGAGAATGCGAGGTAATTATCTTCTGTAATTAATAATTTTGCATCGTCCGAATTTATTCTACAGTTGTTGAGCTGTCCTATAATACTACCATGATAGAAATTTAGCCATCGATTATCTCCGGACATAATGGATTTATACCCGGAGATCGATTATTATATGAGATTGATTAATCACTGGGCAATTTCACAAAATTAAGATATCGGTTGGACTTGTAACTATAACCTATCGTACATATAATTGTAATATATGATTATTAAGTATTTTAAATTTTGAAGATAATTGAATATTTTACATAATATTACATATTTCACATACACACACACACACACACACACACACACACACAATTTTTCTTTTTTTATTTACGTTAAATATGAAAGGTAGTATACTGATAATCTAATTTTTACGTTTCTGTAATCTTGATTTTATATCGACTAAAATTAATATATCTTGTCACAAAGATATGTCTGAAAACTTGATATATAAATGCAGTATTAAATTAATTGTGTCGGAAATCGATATCAATCGCTATTCCGAACATGCGCCATATTCGTCGCGAGTTGATCTAACGCGATTGGTATTTGTGCGCACGTGATTGGAGCGATTCGAACGGGCACTTGGAGCTAAGAAATTATCGAGATAATAGTTCAATGTATTTGTTCTACGTGCAACAGATATGCGTCATTCATTACGTACTTCTTTAAACAATGTATTCCCCGTAAGGTTTGCAATGATTGATCGATTACGGTTCATTGAATCGCGCAATCGCCGTATTAGACATGTCTACTTCTACGTCGCTGGCATTCCTCCTGGATACCAGTTGCCGATGAAGGACATTTCACTAAATCGCGAGAAGTAGATAGACATCATTTCGCCATGATCGGTATTTTGATTTCCCATAGGAGTACGACAGTCTCATGACGGAGTGGCAATCGGCTGGTCGCAGATTAGCCCTCGAAATGTCGGACCTGAAGGAATGCACAAGCCTGTCTGGCACTTTGACGCCTCTCGGTCGGCTCCTCACGGACCCCACATTGAGAAGAACGTCTAGAGATGCCGAAGAAGCCATCGCCGCACTCGAGGAACGCGCGGCTCCCCTTCTACACATTGAGCACGTTAGGTAGAATTTTTTATTTTTATTTATATCATGCAAGAAAGGACCCGTTTCTTTTAGATTACACAGATAAAACTTTTTTTGTCAAACTTATATTTTTGTTGAAAAATGATTTCTTGACTCACATAACATAATTTTTCTATGCACAAAATGTCGACGTTCAATTTTTACTTTTTTAAACATGTGATTCTAATATTAATAATTAGTATAACTATTAGTATATAATTAATATAATTAGTATAATTAATATATAATTAGTATAATTAGTATAATTAACTAGTATATAATTGAATGTTACTTGTAGTAACATCGACTTATTATCTATTTATTATGCAAATGATTTCTTTTTTTGATTAAGAAAATATCAAATTTGAAAAGTTATTTAGATTGATTGAGGGTTACATCGAACTTTCTTTGATTTCTATACTTATGAAACAAGTATCAATCAAGGACGTTTTAATGCAAAGATAACGAAACACATTAGTCGATGAAACATTCAACTCTGATTTGCATCCTGACCTTCGTTCGTGGTTAGGGTTCGATCGTTTGTACATGAGGAGATGGCCACGCGGATTCCTAACGGTGCGTCATGATCACGGTTCCTTTTTATCTTTCTAGATTGTCGGTGAAACGAGCCCGAAGACTGGTGGAGGAGGTGGGTAAGGCTGCCACCAGGCTGGAGTCATCGTTCGAGTCGCGACGCGCGACTATCCGCAATCTCGCGGTTCTGCGGAGCATCGAGGATCAAGCACACGAGGTAAGTTTTACGTAAATTAATATGTCGTTCGTGAAGTCTTGTAAATCTTCCTCACTCGCAAACTGGCTAATCCGTACCGAAACGCTAGCCTATCTGATTAACATTAGCCTCGATGTTGCTATCACGATGGGAGTCAGAAAAGATTATAGACCGATCGTGTCATATATCCGATGCAGTAACGGCATATTTGAATAGATGTGTAAGGGAAGGAGGGAGATATCATAAGATTAAGATTTTCAAATACGGGATATTTATACATGTAATAATTACACGGAAAGGTTTTATCTAAAAATTTAACTGTATAGGAATATAAAAATAATTTTGTTGAATGATCAAAATAATTAGGTAGAACGTTCAAACTGGTTACTAGAATGTTAAATGCTTTTGCAGCATTGCTACTTGAGATTCTTACATAATTATTTTGATCCAACAAAATCATTTTCATTTATATCTAGCTAAATTTTTAAATATTTCAACAAAATTATTCTTTTTGTGTATCTAATGAAAAAAAAAAGTAATTACTCTATTCTTATAATTCAAATATATTTGTCCACAGACAGAGAATAAAGAATAAAGAATAAAGAGAATAAAGAATAGCATTGAAAGAATTTAGATTAGCACATCAATTATGAGCGTTGTTTATACGTTGATGTAGCCTTGAACTAGAAGATTATCGATTGCTACGTGGTTTGTTATTCCGCGTGCGTATGAAAGTTCTCCATACATGGCCACTCTCCTAACTCGTTTCTCGACGATTACACCGAAGTTATTGCACGCAATGCTTATACTGTCTTGTATACACGGACTATCCTCCCTTTGAGCCGCGTATGGCCACTCTTTCGAGCGCGACTTGCATTGAATTCAGCCAGTCAGCCTCCCTCAGTCGACAATGGAAGACGCACAAAGGGCTCCCTATCTTCACTTCCACGAACGAACTTTCGCTTCGAAAATCTCAGCGCTGTATACCTAGCCATCGAACGATCTCTCGTGTTGACATTCGATCTCTCATCGATCTTTTGCGGAGCGTTAGGCTCGCCAACGAACATCACCGACTTGTTATTCTTTGGTCCTTCGCAAACACGATGCAGCTTTGTCAGTGCTATTGAGAGAATCCAACTCTTTCATTATTGAGAATAGCTTGATTTTATGCGATATTTATTTATAATTTATTATTGTATTTATCTAGAAAAATAATTTCCTTTAATATCTATCATTATTTACGTACACATGTATTATTATCAACAAAGATAGATTCTTAATTGACTTTGAATTTTATTTTTTCTGACAAAACATTTAAGGACTAAACTTAGTTAAATGAAAACATTTAATATAAAATTACACTTGATAATTTCTCCAGTAATTTCAGCTGAGTAGTTGTTCAATCGCTGATTCTAAGAGATGCCTAAAGCAAACACGCATGTTAACGCGTTTTCCTCGTATTAGATGCCACGAAGATCGGTGAACGCGTGCAATCATCTGCCTCCCCGACGCATTACACTCACTATTTCCATAATGACGACCGAGTCTGGGGACGTGATTGGCATTGCCAACGCGTCCGAGTATAATCGATAATACGATGGTAGGATCACGCGAATCGATAAACAGTCTAGAATGGAGAATGGTCGAGGAACGATGTATTGTTCGACATCTTTATTACGAACTTTCAAATTTTCAATTTTTCTTAATATAGTGTTGATAAAAAAGTGGTATTTATAACATATATTTCACACAATATACATTTCTCTTAAAATGTCTATTTTTTTTCTTTTTATTTCTTGTAATACAAATGTGTTTTTATGCATTTATACATCTCTTTCTGGATAAACCTTGAATTATTGAAAATTATCTCGTGAAACATACTGACGATCTTCCTTTAATAATTATATATGATAGCATTAGAAATTTTTGTTCATTTCTACATGCAAAATGAATGCGATTTTCTGTGGATTTGCATTGCATTAAAATTTGACATTGAACCGTCATCTAATCATGATTTTATGCACATGTATGCAGTTTCTCTCCTTCTTAACGAGCCCTCTAGGGGAAAACAAAATCGAGGTTGCCACGAATTCACATCTTTCATGCACAAGCGAATCGGAAATTACCGTGGCGGATCACATAAATGCCACCCTTCCCTTGATCGCTTTATAATTATTAATTATCCATCACGGGAACGTAAAGCATGGCCCGCCCTTTGGGAACCCGAGTGTGAATGAATGACCTGGGCGGTTCGCGATACTCGGGTCTATAATTTTCACCATTTTTTCATATTCCTCCGTCATCAAGACGTCCAAAACGATCAACATGGGGGAACAACATTCGTCGAAATTACAAGATCAGATTAGTGCTAAAGAGAAAAGAGATTGCTCATAAATATAGTCTTTACTTCCACTTTGCGTTTCCAGTTTTTAATTTAAAAAATTCGTCCAAAGACTTTAGCGGATGTTTAATAAACTATCTAATTGATTCAATGCACAATTGTCGTTGAAAGAGCAGCAATGTTATTTTTCTTCTCAGAATTGAATAAATACAGCCATGATTCTTGAATTATTAGTGATTTAAAAAAAATTGAAGTTAAACGAAGAATTATAGGAGACATTAATTCGAACATACAGTAAGTCGAATTAATGTTCTTTTAATCTCTTCTTTTCGGAATTATCAAGTTCCGCATTTTTTTCAGGTCGCCGAATTATCTCTTGATAATATATTCTTTAACACTCGTTAAAAACCACCGTAAAGAGAAAAAAAAGGAAGAAATGGTGCGAGTGCGAAATTAACCGAAATGTGTCGTACGTGTATCAAATATAAGTGCGTGCGTGTACCGCTCAATCTCGTGGGCTCGATTCTTTTTCTTCTGCTGAGTTGTTAAGCCCGAACGGTCGGCGCGCGGCTTCCTACACGCACAAAGCATTCCTCGATAATTAGATACAAGATGCGTGCTGCCCGTGTGCCGCCGTGTACGCGATCGCGTGAAGTCGTATACACCCGACATAACCGAGTTGACGACGGCGTTAATACAGCAGCCGTTGGACTTTCACTCTGACGAAGTCGCTACTTAACATCATGATTGTAATTTTGATCAATCGATAATGTCTGTCTTCAACAGTTTTTGGTCATAAAAGGAAACGCGTTTCCAAGTCATCTGCATGTCTTGGTCCACTGGAAAACAGACGTGGAATTGAAATATCCCGATGTCGAATTCTCGTGGTGTATACCGTTATGAAGTCGATCGAGAAATATCGGCTTACTAATCAACGATACATCCTAAGTGCATTCTTTCGCATCGAAAACTATAAAGAGGGCTTTGCAATTAATCCGTGACGTGAACGCTTCCTTATTGCTGTGGTTAATCGACGCCGCGCGACGTACTCGCGTGGAGATCGGCTGCTCCAGGGCGTCCTATCGCGATTATTCATCCCCAGCGTGGTACTTATTATCTTATTAACCATGTGATGATGCGATCGGAAATGCGTAGTGGTAATGGGTAGTTTAACGCTTCGTCTGGATCGATCCATCTATCATCGGCAAGTGGTAATAAAGAAGACCGAGTAGCATCGCGCAGGCGATAACACGAGACAACATTATCGAACTGATTAATTATTAATCGGAACAATTTCCTCGTAAGCGCGACGTTAATATGCTTGTGGTTTAAAGTGCGTTAGCATCTCGAGTGGTATATCTAACGCGCTTGAATAAAGAAATCAGAATGAATTAAGAATTCGATGATATAACGTTCATGTCTGATGTAATTAAATATTTAGATGCATTTTGATTTTCTTAATAGTATAATTTGAATAATTAATATCAAAACTTTATGTAACAAAATAGTTTAGGATGAATCTAATGCTAATTGTGTATTAAAGACTTCGTATATATTTACAGTATAAAAATAATTATTATAAAATTATTAAATATAATTTATGCTTTTTTTTGTATCTGCCGAATGTATATTTATATTGCTGGTAACATCTCTGCATTTGATTGTTTTACCAAATAAGCTGAACGCACGCGATCGATTTTAATCTGAACGATCTCTATTGTAGATCGAAAGAGCCATGTTACGTACGATGGCGTACAACGAGGAAGGACAACGTGTCCTGGCAAAGAAGTGGGTCAGCCCTAACAATTGTTTAATTGTTCGATCGAAGCACTTCGATCAGGCGTACCTCGCTTTCACGTACGGATGGTCACGATCGTACGAAAGAGAGACCAAGAAAGATATTCAGAATTGCCTCATCAGCATTGCTAAATGAGAATATTTTATTTCGTAAGCTCTTGCGAGACTTTGAACAAGTCTCGTATTGTTGCTTAATAGATGAGTATGTTATAAAAATCTAAACAAAGTACGACAATGATATGACACGTATGAGCTATAATACCCATTTTATCTCTCTTTTTTTTTTCTTTTTGTTTCCAAGTCATAGAATGATATTGACTGTTCTAATTTTAAATGATCCATACACGCGTAAATCTATTCGAGAACATAAAAGTATTATTCTTCCTCGTTCTACAACATTAATCTGTGACGGTCAGTAGATTACCTCGAGCGAGTGGCAGTGCCTTTTGATCGCCATAAAATCGGCGTGCTTTGTTGTCGGAGGAGAATGACAGAAAAAACACGGACGACAATAATAATCACGGCAAGTGCCCGAAGCGAAGATCTCGTTGTCCATTCCGTTATTATGCGTTCTACTTTAATTACCTGTGAGGTAGGCTTATGCGAATCTCTCCATTCTTTTTCCATTTTAATTATCAATGTAGAACTGGCTTGATTGATAGGTTTTTTTAAATGAAATAAAAAGGAACAAAAAATAAACAAGTAAAAATTTAATTGGTTTTTCTCACATCTACAGATATTACTGCACAAATAACATTTATTGCAAACTGCGCCTGCAGAGAGAAAATGTTGATAAAATTTTCGATAGATATGAAAAACAGAAAATTTATATTCGGTACACAATAAGAAGATGATGCATTTTTATATTAGGCTAAGACAAAAT